TGGCGGCCCGCCCGCGCCCCCGCGCCCCACGTGCCCGCCCACAAAGGCCGCCGCCCGACGCCGCCATGGCGGCGCCGCGCGGCCGCGCGGGCCACCGGCGGCCGGCGGCGGCGGGGCGGCCGGCGGGGTGCGGGGCGGACGCGGCCCAGGCCGAGGCCGGCGCGGCGGGATGGCGGGCAGGCGGGCGCCCGTCCCCAGGCCCGCCCTGGCCCCGCCGGCTCGCCGCTCGCCCTCCGCCCGCGCCGCCCCCGCACCCCGCCGCCCCGCTCGGCCCCCCGCGCCCCGCACCGCCGCCGCCACCCCGCCGCCCCCGGCCGGGCCCGGCCAGCGGCCGCCGCTACCTTCCAGAAGCGTCTCCGCGCCCGTCCGACTGAGGCTGGGAAGATGGCGGAAGCGCAATTCAAACGCCGGAGACGCAGCCGACGCCGGCGCGCGCGCAGGGCGGCGGCGCGGGGCGGGCCACGCGCGGCGGGCCACGGCGCGGCGCCGGCTCACGTGGCCCGCGCGCGCGCGCACGCACGCAGCCTGACTCCGGCGCCGCACCAAGCGGCCCGCACGTAGGTCTGGGCGGGCGGTGCCGCGGGCCACGTGGGAGGACGAGCCGGGCGCGCGCACGCACGCCGGCCTGCGGAGCCACGTGCGCCGGGTCCCAGGGCGGGCTCCCGGGCGCGCATGCGCCGGCGGATGGGCGGGCTCCGGGCTGGCTTGGGCCCGGGCGGGGTCGGGCGGGAGCGGCTGCGCTTCCTTCCGCGCCAGGGGCCGGGCCTGGGCGGGCTCCGCGCGGCTCTGTCCCGGGCGGCGGCCCGAGCTGAGCTCAGGAGGCGCGGGCGTGTGCGCTGGAGGAATGAATGAGTCAAGGAATGAATGAACGAGTCCTAAGCGGGGGCCTCCTTGCGTCCAGGTCCGCGTTCCCTGTCTTCCCACAGGCGGGTCCGCAGCCGGGCGAGCCCCTGCCCGGAGGTCACAAAGCCCGCCCGCCTCCGCGTCGGGGGTCGCCGCCTGGGCGCGTCCTGCAGGGGGGCGGCGGGCAAAGAGGGAGAGGGGTGCAATGGGAGGGAGAGGGGAAGGGAGGTGCAGGGGAGGGAGAGAGGTGGAGGGGGGTGCAGGTGAGGAGAGGGGAGGGGAGGAGGTGCCGCAGGGGAGAGAAGGGGTGCAGGGGGAGGGAGGGAAAGGGGGTGCAGGGGAGAGAAGGTGCCAGAGGGCGGCGGGAGGGGTGCAGGGGAGGGGGCGGCGGGCAAAGAGGGAGAGGGGTGCAGGTGAGGGGCAGGGGTGCAGGTGAGGGGGCGGAGGGCAAAGAGAGAAGGGTGAAAGTGAGGGGGAGGGGTCCAGGTGAGAGGAATACAGGGGAGAGGGAGAGGTGCAGGTCAAGGGGTGGCCGGCAGGGGAGGGGCAGGGGTGCAGGTCAAGGGGCGGGGGTGCAGACGGGGCGGGGCTCCTCTCACGTCACTGTCACTGTCGGGAAGTGCAGGGTTCTCGGAGCAGAAGGGGGGGGGGACGAAGCCTGAGCGACACACACACAGGTCGCACACTTGCAGGTCGCAGCCCCCTGCCCCAGAGAGCTCCGTGGGCTGGTGCTGGCCCAAGAGCAGAAATATAAACCTGGCCTTGGGCATAGGGTCCTGCATCTGCGGGCTGCTGGGGGCGATACCTGGAAACGTGCAGAGGACCCAGGTAGATGAAGAGGTGGGATAGGGACCTGCTCATTCCCGCTCTCACTCTCATTCCCAAGTGGGAAGTCCCCAGGCGGTCCCAACACCCTCACAGCCCTTCTGCCCAGGGCCCCGCTGGACTCCGGGGCACCCGTGCTACTCTCTTGTCGCAGGGACCCCAGGAGTGTGCGGAATTGGGTCCGGGTGACCCCTGCTCTTTCCAGGAATGTGGGGAGAGCTCAGCCCACACCTCCCAAAACTACCCGCTTGGAGTGCCTACTCTGAAATCACAAATCACTGCGTCTGGCTGTTGAGGTCCAGCCAAAACGGCTTATCTTTTACTGTGATGGGGCCTGGCCACACCATGAGTTAGATAGTAACTCCAGCGGGCCGAACGTGGGCCATTTCAACCCCCTTGATTGCCACCTGCCATTCCCTTATCTATCCAAATAATTTCATTCGTTCATTTATACATGCATATGGAGTCAGCCTAGCTCACAGCAACCTCAAACTCCTGAGCTTAATGGTCCTCCTGACTCAGCCTCTGGAGTAGCAGGGACTACAGGCAGGTTCCCCCGTTCTTGACTAAATTCTCTATTTTTAGTAGAGATGAGGTCTCCGCTCTTGCTCAGGCTGGTTTCGAACTCCTGACGTCAAGGAATCCTGCCTTGGTCTCCCAGAGTGCTGGGATTACAGGTGTGAGCTACCAAGCCCAGCCTCCAGCCAGGTACATTTAAAACACCCTTCTCACTGGGCGCGGTTGCTCACGCCTGTAATCCTAGCACTCTGAGTGGCCGAGGCAGGTGGATTGCTCAAGGTCAGGAGTTCGAAACCAGCCTGAGCAAGAGCGAGACCCCCATCTCTACTACAAATAGAAATTAATTGGCCAACTAATATATATAGAAAAAATTAGCCGGGGCCATGTGGCACATGCCTGTAGTCCAGCTACTCGGGAGGGCTGAGGCAGGAGGATCACTGAGCCCAGGAGTTTGAGGTTGCTGTGAGCTAGGCTGACGCCACCACGGCACTCACTCTAGCCTTGGCAACAAAGCGAGACTCTATCTCCAAAATAAATAAATAAATAAAACACCCTTCCCGGTTTCCTCGCCAGGCACAATGCCTTTACAAGGCCTTAGAGGACTAAAACCCATCATTACTCGCCTTTCTTTCCGAGGCTTGCTTCATCCTACAGACTTCCGCTATACACCCCTAATCTGGTAAAAAGCTGGATGGATCTTACCTCCTTGCCTAGGATTTCAGACTCATTAACCTGGCAGTAAGACCCATCCACCCAGTGGTCCCTAACCCTTGCACTATGGTATCCTTTCATTCCAACCACCACTACCCACAACACAGTGCTAGACCTAAAAGATGCCCTTTTCACGATCCCACTGCACCCGGACTCCCAGGACATGTTCGCATGGACTGACCCAGACTCCAAACTCACAGCTCTGTTGAACTGTACTCCCCCAGAGATTTAGGGACAGCCCCCACCTCTTTGGACAGGCATTAGCCTCTGGCCTAACCCAAGTAAACCTCTCCCTGTCTGTCCTCTTAGGATGTGTAGATGACTTGCTATTATGTAGTCCCACGGAAGCCGTTTCCCACCAACATACTATACAACTCCTCAGTTTTTTGGCGGAGAAAGGCCTTTTGTGTGTCCACAAAAGGCACAGATTTCCTACCCCAGTTACCTGTCTAGATAGGTACACACCTTGCCGGGTGTGGCGGCTCAGGCCTGTAATCCCAGCACTCTGGGAGGCCAAGGCAGGAGGATCGATTGAGCTTTGGAGTTTGAGACGAGCCTGAGCAAGAGTGAGACCCCTGTCTCTACTAAAAATAGAAATTAATTGGCCAACTACAAAATATATAGAAAAAGATCTTATTGCATCCCTATCTCCTACCTCCAGTGAGAGAGGGCTCCGCTCTTTTCTAGGATTATCCGGATGTTTTCCTATCTGGGTCCCTAATTTCAGCATCCTGGCTCAATCCCTGTATCAAGCAACCAAAGGGGGTCTCAATGAACCCTTAGATCCTACTGTAAGTAGTAGTCACTTCCCGACGTCTCCCGCCCTTTCCAGCTGTATACCGATGGGAGACAAGGTGTAGCAGTAGGAATCTGAGCACAGACGCTCAGACCATAGCATGCTTGTCCAAACAGCTGGACAGAGCTATCAGGGGCCAGCCAGCCTGCCTGAGAGCCTCATCTGTAGCAGGGAGAGTGAGAAACTCACTTTGGACAGCCCATCACTGCCCATCCTCTCCCTCCCTTGCTCATCTCTCACCCCGGCCCTGCAAACCCTGAGGTCTCCTCGTGTTCAACAACTGCATCTACTCTCCCTAGAATCTCCGCACAGATCTCTTGCCAAAGCCCTCTTTTAAACCTGCCACTCTCTCACCCACCTCTCACCATCCTTCCATGCATTCTTTTTTTTTTTGAGAGAGAGTCTCACTTTGTTGCCCAGGCTAGAGTGAGTGCGAGTTTCCTAATTTCTCTCAACAGCCCATACCTAATTCCACTTACCCCCGGCCGGTAGATGGCGGTTCCTGTACGTGTGAAAAACGGAGGAGGGCGGGGTGTGCCATAGCCTCCCAGGGAAACATCATGGAAAGTGGGTCACTCCCGCTAGGAGCGTCCTCTCAAAAGGCTGAGTGGCCACAATCAGGGCCCTGACACTCAAGAGAATGCAACAGCCGACCTTTATATGGACTCAAAACACGCCTGTCACATCCCACCGTCACCTGCTCCTGTGTGGGAAGAGCGAGGTGTCCGCGCCACAAAGGGCTCCCCAATAACCAACGCGCCTCTTATTTATTTATTTTTGAGCCAGAGTCTCACTCTGTTGCCCAGGCTAGAGTGATGCCATGGCGTCAGCCTCGCTCACCGCAACCTCAAACTCCTGGGCTCAAGCGATCCTCCTGCCTCAGCCTCCCTAGTAGCTGGGACTACAGGCATGTGCCACCATGCCCGGCTCGTTTTTTCTATATATTTTTAGTTGGCCAGTTAATTTCTTTCTATTTGGGGTTAGAGGTGGGGTCTCG